TACCACTTGAGCCACAGCACCACTTCTGGCTTTTTTCTTTTTGCTTATGTGGTGCTGAGGAATCGAACCCAGGGACTCAGGCATGCAAGGCAAGCGCTTTACCACTGAGCCAACTTCCCAGCCCTTGAAGGATCCTTTCATTGAATGTAGTAAAGTATAATAATCATCTGTTGTATATGCCAGCTATTACTAGGTACTTTTAAGTAAATCTGCTTTTAAATTTTCACAGAAATGCCCAAGATTGATGTTCTAAGTCTATATTTTTTGTTTTCTTTACTAAAGGTACCTTCCCATTCAGGTACATAATTTTTCTCATAAGGTTAACTGAGAATGAACTTGACTCAACCAAGTTATGCTGAAGTAAGGATGAAAGTTGACATAAGTAAGAGAATTAAGTATCCACATGCAGAATTTGGTTAAGTTTTTTTTTTACTGGCTGTTTTAAGTAGTTTTCTTCTTATGTTCACTTTTCTTATTTCAAAATAAGTTAATATTTGTTTTACATGTAAACTTACATAAAATGAGATTAAATTTTTGATTCTTTTTTTGTTGAACACATTTCATATACTAGGTGTTGGTTATACTTTATTTCGCATGTGTTTTTGAAACCTTTTAATGTTAAAGATTCAGTTTTAATTTTGAGCTTTTAAATTAGAAATGAAAAAGTAAGCAAAGTGAGATTGTCTATACATCAGTTTTATAGTTTTTGTTTTGTTTTTGTTGGTCTTGGGGCTTGAACTCCGTGCCTGGGTGCTGTTCCTCAGCTCTTCAGCTTAATTAAGGCCTGTGCTCTACTGCTTGAGCCATAGCACCACTTCTGGTTTTCTAGTGGTTTATTGGAGATAAGAGTCTCAAGGACTTGGGCTGGGAAGCTGGCTCAGTGGTAGAGCGCTTGCCTTGCATGCATGAGGCCCTGGGTTCGATTCCTCAGCACCACATAAGCAAAAAGAAAAAAGCCGGAAGTGGTGCTGTGGCTCAAGTGGTAGAGCGTTAGCCTTGAGCTGAAGAGCTGAGGGTCAGCGCCCAGGCCCAGAGTTCAGGCCCCATGACCGGACCCAAAAAGAAAAAAGAGTCTCAAAGACTTTCCTGCCCAGGCTGGCTTTGAACCATGATCCTCAGATCTCAGCCTCCTGAGTAGCTAGGATTTCAGGTATGAGCCACTGGTGCCTGGCTTATATATATATATATTTTAAATTGAGAAAATATTTCCAGTTTTATAGTATTTAACTACTATTTTTTAAAAGCAGTTTTTAGTGTGATTAGTAACCTGGAGCTATTCTTTTGTATATTCTGAATGGGATTTTGCCTGGTTCAGGTATTGAGCCATATTTGAAGTTTTTATGTGATTCTTCTGGTTTCTTTTCTTAGTCTGATCTGAAGTGTGTCCAGGATGCCAAAGGAGGTTCTTTCTACAGAGATCATTGCCCTGTACTAGGTGAGTTAACAAAATAGAAAAAATTCTAAATAATGATTCAGATTTTATGAAATTAATAAAATGTCTAAATTGCACTGAAAAAATGATTACCATTAAAATATTTAGAGAAATACTTTTTAAATTCCATTTTAGTTTTAAGGCCCTTCCTCTCTCCTTTTTTCCCTTCCTTCCTACCTCCTTCCCTCCCTCTTTTCCTCCCTGCCTACAAGTTGCATAGTTCATTTTGTACATATGTGTATTGAATACAGTGACTGCATTTGTTCATCCCTCTTCCATTCCTGTAAACCCCCAAACGAAACACCACTACCAACCACAAAAAAACATGTTTCTATTTCCTGGAATTTGTTTTGATAAATAGTACTTTAGACCTTCAGAGGGATTACACCTTTGAATTCATCCCCTAAGTGTACCCTTTAGTTTGTGTGTGTTTAAATGCACAGAACCCTGTTTAAGTTATCATATTCAGTTGTATTTTAGATCTAACTTGCCCATATGTGAGAAAACATGAGCAAAATGTTTATCTTTTAACTGTGAACCATATGGAAAACTTTTTTATTACATTACATCAAAGTTATAACTTATATACTATAGAAAGGATTTGACACGTTAGTGCTCATAAATGCTTTACAATTTCTGTAAAATTGCCTACTTAGTAAGAGAAGTTCTAAGATACTGATATGATTCCATGTATAACTGAATGATAAGATATGATATAAATGATATAAGATATGATTCCATGTATAATTGAAAATTTTAAGAGCTATATAACCAAAACTACATTCATTTAAAAATTCATTATAAGGATGAGCATTTGGAACTCTCTTCTCTTTTTTTTTTTTTTTTTTTGGGTCCGGTCGTGGGGCCTGAACTCTGGGCCTGGGTGCTGTCCCTCAGCTCTTCAGCTCAAGGCTAGTGCTCTACCACTTGAGCCACAGCGCCACTTCTGGCTTTTTTCCTTTTGCTTATGTGGTGCTGAGGAATCGAACCCAGGGCCTCATGCATGCAAGGCAAGCACTCTACCACTGAGCCACCTTCCCAGCTTCTCTCTTCTCTTTTGAATGTTTTGTAATGGGAAGTATATCTTGACCTTTTTGTCAAGAAGTATTACTTTCTTTTTTTTTTTTTTTCCTTTGGAGCATGGAGCCTGAACTCTGGGCCTGGGCGCTGTCCCTCAGCTCTTCAGCTCAAGGCTAGCGCTCTACCACTTGAGCCACAGCGCCACTTCTGGCTTTTTTTTTCTTTTTGTTTATGTGGTGCTGAGGAATCGAACCCAGGGCTTCAGGCATGCAAGGCAAACACTCCTACTGAGCCACCTTCCCAGCCCCAAGAAGTATTATTTTCTTGTAGCATATCTTTAACTTTTTTTGTGAAAATAAGAATGTAGGAAAACATTTGTTTTGATGAACTCATCTTTTTTTCTTATTTTTGGAAACAGTCTGGTTTTGTGTCATGCCTTCATAAGAAACATGTGGAATAAACGTACATTCAGATTAGTTAGCATAGCTTTATGATCATGAATCCATTACTCTGAAATTAGGTTTAGAAAATAATCTGGGGAATGAGTGTTCTGTTTTATTATTGAATTTTTTTGTTATTATAAAGGTGATGTACAGAAGGGTTACTGTTTCATAAGTCAGGTAATGAGTACAGTTTTTGGGGACAGTGTTAACCTTTCATTCTCTCCTAAGGGAATGAGTGTCATCATCATGACCCCTGCACCATCCCCCTCCATGTCATGGGGCTTGAACTCTGGGCCTGGGCTCTGTCTCTGAGCTTCTTTTACTCCCAGCTAGTTTTCTACCACTTGAGCCACAGCCCCACTTCCAGCTTTTTCTGAGTAGTTTGTTGGAGATAAGAGTCTCATGGACTTTACTGCCCAGGTTGTATTTGAACCAGGATCCTCAGATCTGATCCTCCTGAGTAGCTAGGATTATAGGTGTGATCCACTGGTGGCTGGCTGAATGATTGTTTTTTAGATAAAAATGTTCTTTAGATAAAAAGTCACATCTGTTGTTTTTTAAACAAAGTAAGCATTTCATAGCTGGGCATGGTAATATGTGCCTGTGATCCCACTTATGTGGGAGGCTGAGATTGAGAATCATAGTTCCAGGTCACTCTGGGACAAAAAATTAGAAAAAAATTAGAAAAAAAATTAGAAAAAGCTAAATGTAGGACGTAACAGTGCTCAACAAGAAATGTACTCATTGCTTTACTCATGTAACTGTAACCCCTCTGTATAGCATCTTTACAATAAAATAAAATTAAAAAAAGAAAAAGCTAAATGTGATGCTATACACCTGTCATCTATAGAGTAAAGTGTAAATAAGCAGGTTTTGGAAAAATCCTGAGGGGGGGAGGAAGGCAGATGGCTAAGATGGTAGAGCATCTACGTAGCAAGAATGAAGACCTGAATTCAAACTTTAGTACTGTTCCTCAGACACTCCAGAGAAAAAAAATACAGTTCTTTTTTGTTTCTTATAAATATTCTGGTACATTGATAGACAATAAGTTATCCAGGCAGGAAAGTGAACATTTTCAACATTTGGAACTTTGCTTATTTGTTATGAATCCTCATATTATTACGGATTCTTTTTCTTTATTGTCTTTTTTTTTGTAGTGCTGGTTATTGAACCCAGAGCTAGGCAAGTACTTTATTACTAAGCTATATGCCAACCCAGATTATTACTTTATTACTTTATTTATTTATTGAAGTACTAGGGATTGAAACTCAAGTCCTTTAGTTTACTTGGCAGGCACTCTTACCACTTAACTATTGTTGAGCCCCAACAGTCTGATGTATCTTTTTTTTTTGTTTGTTTTGGTTTAGAATATTTTGTATTTCTTACAAATCACATTTGTTTCCTATGCTGTGCTGTGTAAATACTTCATGGATTTAACACTGGTTAACTGTCAGATTCCAATGCCAACAGAGCTGGTGCCTTGCCAGCATCAAGTGACTTACTAGCTGCAGGAAATGTGTGTGTGTGTGACGCGCTGTGTGTGATGAGGAACAGAAATAAACGTGGATCTGAAAGTGTTAAAAAAAATCACATTTGTTTTGTTTTTTAAAAACACTTCTACATTCTACAAAACAGTATATGAATACAAGGTGTCTGACAACATTGTCACCCATCGCTCCTATCTTTTCTTTCTTTATTTTAAAACTTTCTCTTCTAAAATGTCATACTTTCTGTGAATTTTAAAAACATTTTAAGTGAGATGATGCCTAAAACTAAAATGTCTTTTATTCTTGTTTAAAAATAATACAGTTTCAGGAGAGGTTGGTTAATGGGTACAAACTTATAGGATAAGGTGTTTTATAGCACAGAATATGACTATAGGTAATGATAATTTATTGTGTATTTCAAATAGCTAGAGGAGAGAATTTTACATGTTCTTCCACAAAGAAAAGATAAATGTTTAGCATGATAGTCTAATTATCCTGATTTGAGCATTACATATACATATGCTGAAATACCACATTGTATCCCTTGAATACGTACAATTATTATGTATCAGTTTAAAATAAAAGTTACCAAAACAAATTGTAAGGGAATACTATGAATAATTATAGTCTAATAAATGAGGTAAGCTAGATGAAATGGATACATTCTTAGACACTATTAAAATGAATTAAAGAATTAGGCCTACTTACAAATAAAGAGATTAACAGTAATCATGCATATACATATGGCTAGTGTGGCTTTCATTCTGTTTTGTTAACTATCCCTGTTAACTACAGGTGAGCAAAATGGCAACAGAAATCCTGGTGGACTCCAGATTGGTGACCTGGTCAATATAGATCTTGACCTAGAAATTGTACAGTCTTTGCAGCATGGCCATGGAGGATGGACTGATGGAATGTTTGAGACTTTAACTACAACTGGAACTGTTTGTGGCATTGATGAAGATCATGACATTGTAGTACAGTATCCAAGTGGCAATAGGTTGGTGATATTTCTCAATTTTGATAATGACAAAGTTAGTACATAGAGAAAAGAACCTTAAAAAAAGTAAATGTGAGGCTGGGAAGGTGGCTTAGTGGTAGAGTGCTTGCCTTGCATGCATGAGGCCCTGGGTTCGATTCCTCAGCACCACATAAGCAGAAAAAGCCAGAAGTGATGTTGTGGCTCAAGTGGTACAGTGATAGTCTTGAGCTGAAGAGCTGAGGGACAGCCCGCAGGCCCAGAGTTTGGGCCCCAGACCAAAAAAAAAAAAAACAACAAAAACAATGTGATTTTCAGTGATCAAAGATCACTGAAGCAAGCTGAGTACCGGTGCCTATAATCCTAGCTACTCAGGAGGCTGAGATCTGAGGATCAGGGTTCAAAGCTAGCCCGGGCAGAAAAGTCTGTGAGACTCTTATCTCCAATAAACCACTAGAAAACCAGAAGTAGCACTGTGGCTCAAGTGGTAGAGCACTCGCCTTGAGCTGAAGAGTGCAGGGACAGTGCCCAGTCCCAGAGTTCAAGCCCCATGACTGACAAAACAAAAAAAGATTACTGAAGCTAGTTCTTATGTGGCAGGTAAAAATCCAGACTATAAGCTGGGTGCTGGTGACTCATACCTGTAGCCAGCACAGGCAGGAAAGTCTGTGAGACTCTTATCTCCAATTAACCACTTAGAAAACTAGAAGTGACACTGTGGCTCAAGTGGTAGAGCATTAACCTTGAGCTGAAGAGCTCAGGGACAGAATTCAGGCCCAGAGTTCAAGCCCTATAACTAAAAAAAAAAAAAATCCGGACTATATTGGTAAAGCAGAATCAATAATGCACATGTGTGTTTTATATGTGAATTAAAATTTTTTTTAATATGACTTTTATATATTTGTAATGCAAGTTTTCTATACTTTTTATTTTTCCTTTGGAAGTAGTAGAATGCAATGTATGTTTTAGGTCTTAGTATAGCTTATAAAGTTCTTTGTTCATAATAGGTCATACTGATTTTCTATAAATAAGAATTGTGACAAAACTTTTCTTGTTCATATTTCTAGGGTTATATCTTTTTTTTTTTTTGGGTCCGGTCGTGGGGCCTGAACTCTGGGCCTGGGCACTGTCCCTCAGCTCTTCAGCTCAAGGCTAGTGCTCTACCACTTGAGCCACAGCGCCACTTCCAGCTTTTTTCTTTTTGCTTATGTGGTGCTGAGGAATCGAACCCAGGGCCTCAGTCATGCAAGGCAAGCGCTCTACCACTGAGCCATCTTCCCAGCCCCTCTAGGGTTATATCTTAATCACATGGTTTGTCTTTGCTTCAAACCCTGTACCTCTTGCTTGCTGCTTGTCTCGTTGGCCTATATGTACCTGAATTTCTGTTTTGGTTTTTGAGACATGGTCTTGCTATGTAGCTCAGACTGATCTTGAACACAAGACCCTCCTGCCTCTGTCTCCTTGGTGCTGGGATTACAGGTGTTTACAACTATGCCTGTCTATATGACCTCCTCCTTTTTTTTTTTTTTTGCCAGTCCTGGGACTTGAACTCAGGCCTAGGCACTGTTTCTGAGCTTTTGCTCAAGGCTAGAACTCTGCCACTTGAGCTACAGCTCCACTTCTGGCTTTTTCTGTTTATGTGGTACTGACAAATGGAACCCAGGGCTTCCTTCATGAATGCTAAGCAAGCACTCTACCACTAAGCTACATTCCCAGCCCATGACGTTTTTATAAAGGCACTAACCATTGAAGATATATATTTAGAGTCTACTCAAATCTAGTACGATCCCATCTTAACTTGATTACATGTGTAAAGACCCTATTATTCAAATAAGATCACATTAACAGATATTTGAATTAAGATTTTAATATATTTTGGGGGGAATACATACTTTACCTCAAAACTGATGACAGCATGCCCCAAATTAATATACAGATTTAGGCTAATCTTTATCAAAATCCTGGTTCTTTTTTGTGCAAATGGATAGATCCTAAAATTCATTTGTAAAGTCAAGGAATCTAGATAGCCAAAAGAACCTTGAACAAGAATAGAGTTGGAGGTTTCAGGTTCCCAGTTCTAAAACTTAAACCAAAAAGCTGTAATAATCAAGACAGAAATACAATTCAATGGAATAGAGTTCAGAAATTATCCCTTCCATTTAGGTCAGTTCATTTTTTTTATTGTTACTATAAAGGTGATGTACAGAGGGGTTACAGTTACGGAAATCAGGTACTGAGTACATTTCTTTTTGGACAGTGTCACCTTCTCTCCCTCTCTCTCAGAAGTCAGTTCATTTTTTTTTTTTTTTTGTCGGTTGTGGGGCTTGAACTCTGGGCCTGGGCGCTGTCCCTCAGCTCTTCAGCCCAAGGCTAGTGCTCCACCACCACTTGAGCTACAGCGCCACTTCCAGTTCATTTTTAATTAGGGTCTAAGACAATTCAGTGGGGAAAAGAATAATTTTTTTTTTTTGGGTCCGGTCGTGGGGCCTGAACTCTGGGTCTGAGCGCTGTCCCTCAGCTCTTCAGCTCAAGGCTAGCGCTCTACCACTTGAGCCACAGAGCCACTTCCGGCTTTTTTCCTTTTGCTTATGTGGTGATGAGGAATCGAACCCAGGGCCTAGGCATGCAAGGCAAGTGCTCTACCACTGAGCCAACTTCCCAGCCCAAGAATAATTTTTTTTCAACAAATGTCGTTGGGTCAAATGGACAGCTACATGTAAAACATGAAATTGGACCTTACTTTATACTATATGCACTTATCAACTCCAAATTGATCATAGATTTAAATGTAAGAAATAAACTGTAAAACTCTTATAACAAGACATAGGTGACATGGTTTTATTGACCTAATCCTAAAAGCAGAAGAAACTAAAGAAAAAGTAGACTGGATGTCATCAAACAGAAAGACTTTGTACTTCAAAGGAAACAGTCAAAAAAGACTAAAGAAAGCTCATAAAATAGGAGAAAAGAACTTTGTGACTTTTTTTTTTTGGGT